TGAAAAAGTCGATAGTAAGGATTTTTAAATGATCAAGTTCCCCCGGAACCACCCGTAAATATTTCCAAAATCCCATATTTAAATTTACTAAGTACAACGAAATAAAATTTTTCGCCGATCAATTTCCCCTGGCATATGTACGTATAAATGCCCGAGTCCATTTTCCAAGTAGCTTCAATAACAAAAGTGCGAGCAATGAAAAAACAATTTAAATAAGTGATAACTGGAATAAAAGTCTATATGCAAGATACATATTAATTAAACGCCCATCCATTCTGGCCAAAAATCCATTATTTCACACATAATAATTCAGACATAATTATTAAAATATACATTTATTCCACTAACTAATTTCTGTAAGACAATATAAAATGTATATATAAGCTATATGTGCATGTCTGTCTGCATGCAGAATTCTTCATGGTACTTTGATATTAATTTGTAACTCGTTAGTTCTGTTTCTGAGTTCATTGTGTTTTCTGGAATAATTACCAATCCCCGTGAACCGCAAAGATAGATATTACATGAAAATAGATCATACTCGATAATATCACCATTTTAATTCCACTAAAATACATCACTTCATCAAAAATGAAAAAAATTCCCTTAAAAAATCACGAGCATCTTCGGGATGATCAGTCATTAGCGACGATTTTTAAATTTGTTTTTTAATATTTTGAGGAAGGATATGGATGAAAGGAGCAGTGAATAGTGGATATATTATATCCCACGGTAATTCTTTGGGAGATATGCCAGAGGTCAAGACACACAAGGAAGAAAGAGCGATGGGTACATGAGCGTGGGAGAACATAAGGTAAAAGTGTATATATTGGGAAGGTGGTGTGGGCCTCGCGCCGAACAGCAGCTGTGATCCTCCACCCTGCGGCCACGCAACCCTTTTCCTTTTCTCAAAATTTCGTCTTCCTCTTCTTCCTTCTTACCTTATTCCTCTTCTCCACAATCTGGCGTGAGTTCCGTCGGTGAATCGAGACCATGTTTTGTGTCCATTCATGTCAATATCTACGAATACAATAAAACAATACTTAGCCATAGCTACAATGTTTTCAAATTCTCCCTTTCCTTTCTCCCTTTATTATCTCTACTACTCACTTTATTTATACCTTCTACCTTCAAAATCACATCATTCAGGGATGCCAAATCCGGTGATTTTGAAAAGGTAATTTTTTAGATTTTGGAGAAGTCATGTATTTTAGTGGAATTAAGATGGAGATTAAGAATATCATAGGGTACGATGGATTTTCATCTCATATTTATATTTCCGGTTCACTGCGATGAATAATTTGGGAAAATTGATGAGAAAAATAGACTGTTTATTATGTTTTATTATTACTCACGAAGTTCATCACTGGATAAATTTTTCTACGTTGCCCATAAAATTTTGCAAAAATTTAGAAGTCATTGAATAATCAGAAATCCAAGGAACATTTTTTTTAAACACGAAAAATGAAAAGATATCGCCAATTACTTCTTACACTCTTGGAAGTAAACGATATTCGTTTGGAAATCAGAATTTTTCTCTCTCGTCGATGAATCAAAGATTTTTTATTTTTACCATGGTCCTCACTCAAGGAAATGTGGTGGAGAGTGAGGCGAACCATTACGATTTACAAAAATGCAGATGGACACACCTGCTTATATATGGCTGAATGTAAAATGGCATGTGCCTAGAAAGAAGAGCGCACGAAGGTCCTCTCAGTTGTCGGTTCGTTTCGTTTTCATTTCCATAATTAAAACAAAAAATCCCTTTTTCAGACAGCAGTGGGCAGAGGAACGAGCAGCTTATATCACGTTTCCAAAACCAAAAGGTGATATCTCCGCAAATTTTTTGCTCTACCTCATCGAAGAAACCTTGAAAAAACTTATTGCAGTCTCGACTAGAATAAATTATCATTAAATTTATTATCTAAATTGAATATCACGTCCTCTATACTCCAGTCGCGACTATTCCATCTATTAAATACAAAACCATAAAATTAAAATAAAAAAGAAATTACAACAGAACAAATGAAAATATTGTCTCTATGAAATTTATCTAGGTTGATTCGAATATTAATGATTCTAATATTACTCCTAGGTTGTGATAACAAAGCTAGTAAAGTTAATAAATTAATAGAACACCACAGAAAATAAAAATATTTTTATTATTATTACTCCCCAGTTAATCCTTTTTAATTAAATAATAAATCCTTGCTTAATCATATTTTCTACATAAAAAACTGAAAACTAACAGCCAAAATTGCCCTCCCCCCCTTCTTTTTTAGGGTGTGTTCTATTGCAAAAATGAATGAATGACAAGTATAGTCCTGCCCAGTTATGCTCCATACAAAAAATTACTTAAAAAGAATAGCAAAAAATGAAATAATATTTTTCCGGTGTAGAAGGAAACGGAGATAGCTCGTTTTGCAGGGGAAGAGAATTTTAGGATATAGCCCCTTTTGCTTTTTGGATGGCTGTATGTGTATATATATAGGAGTCAGGTAGTAAGGTGGGCCGGTGCAGCGATATAGGGCCCAAGGAACCGGCAGTGTGTTAGCAGCGTGGGAAGGTACGGCAGCTGAGAGCGAACGAAAACGCTCTGGGCCTCTCCGAAAAGAGACGGCTGCTGTTTCTTCTTCTCGTTCGTACGATATATATCCAATGTTTCTCCATTGCACATCGACCTGTACCACTTACAATACATTGCCATCACCGTCCACCGTCTTCATAACGAGTTTTGTCCACATCATCCATCATATGGATCATCTTCATTCAATCAAGCGCGCAGTTGCCACTCATTTTTTCTCATATCACCTAAATCACCTTAATTACATAAATACCAGAAGGGGAGGGAATCATGTATTTGATAAGGTTCTTCTTCAAGTATAACCGGTAACTAATATTTATTTATGGTTTTTTATTTCAAGCGCTTCTGAGCATTCGGCGATCAATTTGCATACGTAATTTTTAAAAAAAAGGATAAAGAATGTATAAATTTTATTTGCAAATATTATAGTATGTTTAGGTCGACGACAATGACTGATGGTTTTCAGGTTTTCATGGCACCATTATTGAGAAATTTTTACTCTAGTAATAACTAATATTACCTCCAAATTTGTTTACTTTCCATTTTTGTCATGATAGAATATTTTCGACAGCCACGATTTTTAACTGCTCAGAAAACACTAGGAAGTTCTTTTGAAGATGGATAGCGTCTTTTTTTAACGCCGGAAGTTCTGAATTTTTCTAATTTTTTGTCTTTCTTGTCTTAGAAAAAAACATGTTTTGTTGAAGTTTTCCACAAAACCTTAAATTAGAACATTTGAAGATAAAATACCGATAAAAAAAAGAGCAGATTAAGTTGAGAGCTATCTTTATTAGAATTTATTAAATTATATAATCACTGTTATAGGGATATGTCTTGTGAATTCAGTACAGTAAAACCCTTTGCCGGGGTTGATCATATTACAATTATCATATCAGTTTATTTTTAATAAAAAAAAGATGATTTCTCAAATTTCTTTACATTTCTTTAAATTTCGAAACCCATTCTTAGAACAGTCCAATATATTTCCAGTTTCTTCTTCAATTCTTTATAACTTTTGTAAAGACCACCCCATTTACCTTTCTAATCACATTAAAAACGCAACTTGACTTCAAATGGAATTGATACCAATACTTCACTAACTGATTATTTTCAATGAATAAAAAACCGGCAAAAACCAATGAACAATTTGAAACGGATAATTCTCACATTTGCGTAAAACCTTTACAAATTCCATTATCACTCCTTCCCTGATAATGTTCATACAATTTTCCTACAATATCGACAACTGTTCGAATTTATTTCTCAATCTCTATTTCTTCACGTCCTTAATTTTTCTTTGTATATCAAAACCATTATATATATTGACCAATTATAAATATTTATCGTATAATTATCTCATTCATATTTAAAAAACTACCGTTCAGACAGTAGCCCAAACAATTAATAAGGAGAGATCCTGCAGTAATGAAGAACTTCTACCCAGGGCTGTCCTCCAGAATTTTGGGTTGGCAAGGGACAGGATGTCGTCTGTAGATATTTACCATGGTCGTACCTACCCCGTGGAACTTCCACCTATTCATCTCTATGTATTCAATGTCCATGTGTTTGAATTTCCTGCCTGCTCCAGGGATTTACTTTTTGGTGACTCCCCTTAGTTTTCTGTCTTCAGCTTCACTTCAGGGCCATTCTTCTACGATCACATCCTCGGAGAATGGTGCAACTGTGACGAAATAATCATACCTGAAGACACATTACTCTTTGTTAGAGGAAAAATAAATATATATAAATCAAGTTTTCCCTAGGGGGCAAACAAACATACTCATACGACAGTTGTACCTTCTGATGCTCTTTGTGATGCACAGCTTGGTTTCCATCGAAATCATAAAAAAAAACATTCATCTTCCAAGTGATCTTCATTGACTTTAAGATTCATTACTTTCCATCAGTTTTGTTACTCCATTTCAATAAACTTACTAATGAAACGGAACGCGCGTGCAGAATGGTCCACTTCAAAGCAGGAGTCCATTTTCCTTCTTTATTATTTTGTTTATACTTTGTATTTCTTCCAATTTCCAAATGACTGCGCACACACAATTGAATTGTATATATTGATTTATGTATTTGACAATATCGGATATAGTAATGAGATGGCAATAATCACTCTGGTCTGTGGTAATTATTACAACGGTAAAGTGACATCATAGTAATATCCATTGGAAACATACCATGGCCCATAGTAAATATTAATATTTATAAATTTTTACTATTTAATTTTTTTGGGGTCAGAAGATGAATGCAGATAATGGGTGCATAGTGAAGGGATTTCAGCGATTTCCACGATGTTTTTGTATTTTCCTGGAAAATTATCGATGGATTGATGTGAAAAAGTGACGCAGAAACAATAGATTAATTACTTAAATTTATTTTGCAACGTCTCGAATATTCTATCCTTGTGCCTCGCGAAATTTCAGGGCAATTCTCGAACGTTCGATAAAGAAAGGTATTTAAACTCGCACGTTCCCCGACAAATACATTAGTCTACTCCTGATTACGGATGTAAACACTTGCCTCTCAAGTATACAGTTCTTATCAACATTGATTTATTATTCTGATACCCGCATCAAATTTAAATTTATAAAAAACGCAGGAAAATGTTTGCACCACTTTGAAATTTTGTGAGTCATTAAATAATAACAAAACGGAAAAACCCTGGATTTTTTCTCGTCAATTCCATCGCGAATCCGCCAGAGAAATGATAACACGTTTTTGGCGGAAAGGATGCTCAAATACTTTTCAAAAAAATCGGTTTTTATTTATTAGGAGTTCGACTGTCTCAATCTCAAAGAATAAATTTCCAAGGAAATCAAGGAATGAATTTCCAAGGAAAAAATTGGAAGTTGCCCAGGTGGTATTTTACCCCACAATCTTCAGATTACCGGTCTGTTGTTCCATCCAATTAAGCTACCGGGTCGTCTTCATTTCCGACCTTATTGTCATCCTCTTCAACTCATTAAACTCCGCCTACCTCCATTACGCAACAAAAATCTAATCCAGTTGAGGTAGCTAATGTACATCTTTCCAAAAATCCGTTTGAAAACCACAAATGGCGTTCAAAAAAAGCTCAATTTTTATATATCTCGGAATGGGTCATTCCCTTGGATGACCCTAGCAGCACCATTTTACCCTTATCTCCCTGTATGTAATTTTTATATTGTTATAAATCCGTAAACAAAAAGAGGAGGATTCAAAAAAAGATGAAGAGCTTATTAAAATAATGTATGATGTTGATGTATTTATCCTGATTAGATATTTCCTCACGATGATCTTTACTTATGGAATCATTTAATGCTTCTTTTAGAAACTCTTAAAATTCAGTTTTAGAAAAATTTCAGAAAAATTTCAGAAAAGGGGTTATTGAGAATATCCACGTTTGTTATTGAAAAAAATCTTATTCTGAATATAAAAAAACAATCACTGATTTTATCTATCGTTATGTGACACAGGATCTATTTAATTTATTATCTCAGAAGCTTTTAGGTAGAATTCCAATAAATTCATTGCCAACTTTCTCTCCAATTCTCTCAAAACATTGTTTTTTGAATTTACAACTTAAACCTTCATCACTCCCTGAATTTTCTATTTGAAAAGTTCCGCTTAGGCAGAAAATTAGGAAAAATTCATCAGAAATCCGTCCATGCAGTTAAGAAGAGAATTGTCACATTGACAGCCAAATAAAAATAAAAAATAAAGTACTCATCCCATCATTAGATAAGAATGGAACCGATCGAACCATTTGATCTATCGAAACTTGTCAACAAAAATTGGGTAATGAATATTGTTCCTTTTAATATTAAAAAAATGAAACGAAATTTCTCCACAGATGTTGTTGTTGGTATATTTCAAGATTTTTTTCTTACTCCCATCGTTTGAGATGATGTAAAGAAAAAGGCCTTGGAGAAGACAGGCGGAAGTGGCCCGTACAAGGAGATTGCGACCACCTTCGCTTCCGCTATATTGAGAACTACGAAACACGACCACTACCACCTTCTTCCTTTTCTGTTTCTCTCCAACTTGGCTTCCTCCCTAGTAGTGGTGGCTTGCACACGTGTTCCCTTCGCCCGATTCTCTCCTACATCTCCTCCCGCTTCTTCCGGATATGAGTATACAAATGAAATAGCGTTAAGAAAAAAGTTTTTTTTTTAACTGAACATCGCTATACAGATTTGCCTCATACAAGTGGCAGACATGCCAAAAATACTAGCCCCTCCACTTCCTAACTTCCTTTTAGAATTTTATTGATGGATATATTTTTCATGAATGTGAAAGACTTATATTATAACCACCTGTCATGATCGTTGTGGTCTTGGAAAATTTTTCAGACAACACTGGAAAAAAGGACTTATTCAAAATGAGTCACTCGACTTATTTCTAAAAAAAGAATCCATCAAATGGAGTTAAGTGAAAAATCTGAAATAGCAATATCACAAAAACTACTTGTTTACTCGTATTTAGATCAGGAATACGGATTGATGGAGATCGAATCATTGAATCAACTCGAAGAATAAGTAATGAGTAATTTTACTCGGATTTTCTGGTAAGAATTGCTCAATTGCCACTAAATTTAACGATTACTATCGCCTAGGGTAATTTAAAAAATAAATGTGATGTACAATAATCGTAGCAAATTTGCCACTGTAAATCCTTTCAACGTGTTTCGAAATTGAATTCTTATGCATATGCTAGATAAAACGATAAAACACCATTAAAATAACAGTAACTCACCTAGATGAAATTCATATGCTCGCATTCCTTGACGCAAATACATTTCAAAACATATTCGTAAATTGAGTTTCGAAAATTGTTTTCAAATGAATCTATTCGGTTTAAAATATTCTCCGGCGATGCGTAGAGTGAGAAAATTTATAGTGACCACCTGCTGCAACGAGAATGTGTCTTAAAATTTTCCTCATCCTCTGAGAGCTGATGAAAAGGGAAAAGCGGTGAGCATGAAAGTGAAAAAGGGAAAACTTCGCCGGTGGTTTTTTTTTTTAAATATTGTATTGAAATTTAGGGAGGGATAATGGTTGGAATAGACAGTAGCTTTGTGATTCGTTATCATGACAATAGCACGTTATGTGTTTCCTCCTGAGTGATTCGTGGCCACCGGGCGTTTCCATACACAAGTGAATACCCTCTGTACGTGAGCCGAATTTATCGTGTTAATGGGAGTGGAACATTCGATGATGCACGTACATGCTTTTCCTTCTCTTTCAAGACATTCGACTTGGCATTTCTCGAATAATGCCAGCTTTTCTTCCTTGCATCATGTACCCACCTGTAACAATATTCTAAAACTCGGTCTTTTCTTTCGTTTTCGGCGAGACACCTCTCGTGTTTTGTCGCGAACGTGCTCAAGACGATGTCTCTTCTGGAAATAAATCGGAATTCAATCGAACTCTTGAAAACTCTTGAAACTTTAAGAGGCACACCTATAGGTGAGCCTTTGAAAATAATCATTTTTGTTTATATAATTGGGTAGTAGATAACTTTTAAAATAACATTACTACTCTTTCAAACGGGTACCGCTAAAACTTTTTAACCGTTAAATAATTATTGAACCTATCATTTTAACTTCAAAGGCGTTTTTCAAAAAACGATATGTTTCAATTTTTTTTTGGCATTTCGATTGGATGAAAAATGTTGTTTTGGCGTGCCACAAATCATCGGATTTTTTAATAAAATTTTCAAAAAAAAAACTCCCATTTTATTGAATATTTTGATTGTATTGCTTTTTTTATATCAGGCACTGTTAACCGTACGGGAACTTTTCCCTTAGAGACGTCAATAATAACAAAAATCTCCAAGAAAACAATTTTTTTCTTAAAAAAATTTATTGTCGCAGTAATAAAATAGTTTCATATTACATAGTGCTTCTTTTTCGAAATATTCCTGGATACAGAAAAGAATTGTTTTGTACAAATTGTATGACTTTTTAAATTTGTCAATTGAATTGCTTTCGGCTTGATAAACCAAACAAATGCATCGGAAGGATAAGTTGTGACGTGCTAACGGAAGCTATGAAAATGAGACTGAATAAATGGCCCTCATAATAATATTGTTGACACGAAAGATATTATTTTCACGCTGCAACCCAGTTTCCGTGACAAATAAATAAATTTGCACTTCATAGCAGCATAACACCTCAACTTCCCGATTCCTCCGCCAACTCAACGAGAATACCTCGGATGTTGGCATACAATTTGCGTTAATTTTAGTTCAACATACCAAACGAAGAAATGAAAAAGAAAACTCAAAGAAAAAAAACAACCTGGAAATTAATAGTTCGGAAGAGAAAAAAATCGTTGCGAGGGTGGATAAAAAAAATCTGTGTGAGGGGGAAAAATCAGGGGAGCCTGCTGCATGAGTTAAAAAAAAATGTGGAGCTATCAGGAGAAAAAAATCTTTGAAAAGGCAGATTTGGATTTCCACGGTTCTCGTTTTCCCGCATTTTCGAATGAACAGATGGACACGTCCCTCGACCACTTGGGCCTAAAAATCCCGCAGGTAGTTGGTATGGCTTGGCGTCATATGTTGGATAAATCATTGCCAGTTTGAGTTGTCTGAAAGTGTCTGCGGTTATTCAAATTAGTATGAGCTGTACATAGTGTCAGTTTCAATCGAGTTTTATTGTAACGATTGAGAAGTGAAGGAATAAAGGAAATTGAAGACGTGTCAAAGTGAATTGAATGAAGTGTTTAGGATGATTTTTCCTTGCTGAGTGTCGTTGGGACGTCATTGGGCCCAAGAGAGAGGAAAGGAACAGCAGCTGCACTCGATATAGATCGGAGGGAGGACGGACGGTGAAGCATACGGTGGTCTTCTTAAAATCCTGAGGACCCTGCTATATACTGGTACATATACCAGTGAGACGAGAGAGAAAAAATGATCACTATCGGTTTGGGGAGGGAATATTGGTGCTTTTTCTTCTTCGGCCAAATTCGGAGCATGAATTCGGAGGAGTTCGTTCGCGTGGCGCGCGTGCCTTTCTTCCCCACTATTTTTTACCATTTCTTACCATTTCTTACCATTTCTTACCATTACATAACAGACCCATCCAACCGGTCCAACACCAAATTTATTCACTTAAGGACTTTCTGCCGATATCTCCTCATTTTTCTATTTTTTTCCCTTTTTCTGGGAAACTATTCATGCGATTGGAAAAAATATACACTGTCCTCAGGTTTTATCATTAGTCAATGACTCACTAGTTTTCACAGTCGTGCATCTATTTTGATAAATTTTTCATGTTTTGGGAATTTTTGCTAGAGTTGAGAAAGGAAGGAAGTTCTTCCGCAGTGATAGGATCTCGTGAGACATTAAAATAATGATAAAACTTGAAAACGGTATATTTTTTTACGTCAATTTTATCAACAGCTTCTCAAAAATTTATTAACAACTTGGAAAATTAGAAAATACCGGCAATAATTTGTTAAATGTCTCACATAAATATATGTATCATACCGATGTATAGGGAAGACCGAGATAAAATGAAATACTGTGAAAAAATGTTCCACCCACCAGATTTGCGAATGTTTTTTTCTTCATTTTACTTCCAAAGTGTCAGCAAAAGTTTTTTGCAATTTCCGAGGATTTCCTCCTCAGGATAATAATAGTTGCCGTTTTTTCGATATTGAATATAATTTTGTATTCACTTAAATTTTTTACACGAAAAAAATCAAATCTGCAAATCTTGGGAGTGATGCGTTTCTCACGTGCGAATCTTCCGAAAATCTGAGTGGAAAATTCTCTAATTTTTATAGAACGTTCTCTTCACTAATTTTTATATATTCGTATAGATGTTTTCTCCCTGCAGATTGTGGAATTATTTAGCAAGTACTATTTAGGAATTCGTGTTCGAGCCTATTGCCAATATTCTCTATACACTTCCATGGTTGTAATCTTTTAATTCCATTCCACGACATGAAATATCACCATTTGTCATTCTTAGATTTAATTCATGTATTTCGGCGCTCAACCTCTCTAAGCCACAGGATAAAGTCTACTGCACGTATAGTGTGCAAAAAAAGAATATCGAAAATTTTGAAATCATCATAATAAAAAAAAAGTAGACTAAATAGTTATTTACCTGAAATTCCATAATCGCACTTTAATAATTGAGGAATAGTTTAATTTCACAGTTAGTGTAACTTTTCCTGAATATTTTACCTACTGGGTTGAAACTATTACTGAAAATTCTCGGCACACGCCAATCGTTTCCTCTAAAATTAGAGAGTCCCCTATGCACCCGTGTTATTATAATATATTGTAATTAGGCATGCGAAGTGAAGGACACCCTCGGATTGTTATACCTGTTTATTGATAGACATAAATCTCGTGGACGTGCTTTCCACGATTTACCCAGAAGTGTGAATCATGGCTGAAGTGGAGGTGGCATCACATCCAGTGGAATTCATCGATCCTTTAAAGGAAATATTGTCTGAAGCTACATAAAACTAATGAAGTTATTGCCCCAAGTTCTAAAGTTCACTTTTCAAAACCATTTAGTGTGCACAAAGTGGTTATTTTCCACACGTGTTCACATGCCGTGCGTAAAGTGAATTTCGAGTGTGAAAAGCTCAGAGCCCGTGCGTAAAATGAATTTCGAGTGTGAAAAGTTCGGAGCTCGTGTGTAAAATGAATTTCGAGGATGCAAAGTTCGGAGGCAGTGCGTAAACTGAATTTCAAGTCTGAAGCAAAGTTTCACTCACGACCTTGACTTTTACGCCCTCCGTTGACAAAAACAACCCCATCCCTTCCCCCTCCCCCATTTCTCATCCCAATCTGTGAGAAGTAGAATGTTGATTTATGAAAGTGCGTAAAATGTCACTTTACACACCGTGCACGGAAGTATACTATTTCCTCATTGCCACTATGCGGCAGACGCCGAAGACACTTTTATTACATCTACATCGTTTTAAATGGAACAAATAAAATAAAACTGCTTCAAAGAGATATAAAATGTGATTTGATGGCCAGCCGTGCAGTGATTTTTGTTAGAAGAATGAATTGACGTTTTATTGATATTTTGGTGTAGAGTGGGTACATATTGGGTATTTGGAGAGTCGTGAGTGTGTCGTGATGAGCGGAAGTGGTTCCATCTGGCTCCTCCCGTTGATCTGACCTGTTGAACCACCTCGTGACCGGAAGTATACTTTTCACCGTATTCACTCTCAGCTCGTCCACATGGATGCGCCTATATATTTTACCGTATACCACACATCCTCAAGTGTGCTTCCCCTATTCAGTACAAAATCGAATGGAGACTGAAGAAAAAATAAAAGAGACGTCAACAATGGCTTCCCTCTTTGCTGCGGCTTTTTATCGTCAAGGTGTTCAATGCCACACTTGTTTACCTCGATTACGACCAACGCTGTCGCAGTATCCTATCCTCGTCCCAACCTTCAAACCCCTCTCTACTGTTGCAATGATTCTTGCTTGCACCAGCTGCCACACGCATCCGATTCAATGATTACATTTATTCAAATCAATTAAGGGAAATTCGAGGGGCTGTTCATTGAAATCACTGTGTCACTCTCAATTGAAATCACATGCAATTAGCCCTTAAATCATGAAATTATGTGAAATCATTTTAAATCATGAAATCAGGATAAATCTCCAAATCACCATGTGTCATGATATTTGACATCGAATAGTCTCTCGGGGAAATCCATGCAAAATGAACCGCTTAAAAAGTAATTTTTTCCCACTGTTGCATTTTCTCAAAAACTAGTTCAGCGCCTCCTTGGGGTGCGCTACTTACTTCGCGTGTAATGCAATGTAATTTTCAAGGACACATAGCTCGCTCGGAAGAGAATCTGATTACTTCAATGTAAATTTGAATGGATATCTTCACTTCTTCAACTGGATTAACCCTAACATAATAGACTTTCTTCTACGAACGTGTGTGTGCACCTATTTACGCTCAATTTATGCTTTCCCCGCCAATTTTGAATTTTGAATCAATAGTCAATAAACACCGAGGACATAATAATTTAATCCAGTAATTAAACTTTTTTTTTAATTATGAAGTCTATTTTATCTTAAATCATGTTATATTTGCCTGAAATAAAAATAGTTAAGACCGCCTACTAAATCGTTTATCCTTCGATAAATCATAGAGGAGAGACGAGTAGTAAACTGAAAAAATGAGTACTTATCTGATTTTTGTAAATTAACTACAATATAAATAAATATTTTATGCTTCAATAATCATGTTAAGTTCATAATTGAACTGGAGATATGTGACTCTATCAAACCTAATCCCAATTGAGTTTAAAACGACGTAAGACCCGTCATCAAGTCCTGATCAATCATGATTAATACCTGATTATCTCATAGCAGGGCTGACCCAATCAGATTTCAGTTCAGACCCACTTCCACGTACGTCCTCTTGGATTTAATATTCCTTTACCAGGGGTGTATACACGGTTGATAAATAGAAACATGAGTGTTATAGAGAATAATATTGATGTTCATTAATTTAATTAATCATACTAATTTATTTCTTAATCTCAATTCTTATATAATTTGCATGTGACTGACGCTGCACTGCGTATTTTGTGTTTCTCAACCGAGTTGTACATTTTATTCCGTTTTTATTCCACCTCTTAGATGATATACCCTTCGCTTCCAATTCTATAATAATTGTACACGTCTATTTCAGTGCACCCCCCGAAATTGCCTGCTGCAAAGTGTCCACCACGCATAACGTACCCAAAACTGTCAATCTTATTATATAACACGAATAAATAGACAACTCCACCCAATCATACGATTAAAATACGTCTGTGCGATATTTTCTACAGCAGGAGGAATATGCAATATGAATTACATAACCGTTCAGTCATTTCGGATCTAAATTGTGTTGTAGAAAATTTAACAGAAGTTTTACGTTATTTTTACCTGAATGTATTGAAATTTATTAGGGAAGTGCCTGATATCTTTTATCTTCAATTAAATCAAGCGCCATCGAATTTTTTTCAGTTGATTTTTTCTGTATTTTAGGTTGATTGCCGTAAATATTGAAAATTTGTGTCATTGACTAATAAAACCTAAAGATGGTATATTTTTTTATGTCGATCTGATCCAGGATTTCTTCGAGATCCCAAAAAAAAACATGAAAAATGAAAAATAAGAAGATATCGGCAGTACCTCCTGAAGACTATAGTAGCTTCTATAAACTCGGCTATCCCGCCTAAACCCGAAATATTTTTAAAGTAAAGCGACCCTGAGGGGGTCCAAAAAATGACGAACTGAAAAAAGTGCAAAGAATAACTCGACATCCACCATATGCACAGTAAATCACATATGTCCATGACGTCACATGAGTTGCGAAGAAAGGTGGTATGCGGCGCGTGCCTAACGCGAGTATAAAATTCAAGCAAAGTTGAGGTGGGGTTGTTACCTGAGGAATTCCACGAGAGGGTCGAAAACTAGAGGTACAGTGAGAGGTACGGTAAGATGGGAAATAACATGAGATGGTTGGGGTGTGAAATAATGAGAGGTGAACAGTGATTGGTAAAGGACACAGTTGTAGAATAACGAAAAAAAAAAGAAAAAAAAAGAAAAAAAAAAGGAGGGAATAAAAAAGAAGTAAGCGTGCGCGACAGAATGCGTGCATGTGCGTACGTTGGGGTGGTTGATGCATGGAGAAGGCTGAAGAAGTGGGGATTTTGAACGCGTGCAGCCGGCCTGCAGCTGCTTTATTTCTTCCCCACCCTGGACTCCTGCTGCACGTTCTCTCTCTCTTTTCCCTCTGACTGATTTCACCCATCGTCAGTGTGGCATTCCACTACCCCTGGCACTCTTCTTTCTCTTTTTCAACAAAATCCCCACCCTCCAGTGTTGGCTTCTCTCTTTTTCCCGCTGGCTGGTTCCCTGCGGGGCCCGCCGGGACCGCTATTATAAGTAGGGGTACCACGCAGCCGCTACCTCCAGTCGAGGGTTGAACTTCTACACCTCAATAATGTAACGCAATCATTTTATTATAACACTATAAAAACAAACTTTAACGTACCACGCGTCTCAAATATTAACCGCGAAAAATCAACCGACGAGTGACTGAAATAATAATCATTTCTTGTTTATACGTAAATTCGAGAGTTATTGAATCTACGGATAAATCTTGAAACGAGTCAAATCTATCTCAACGTGTCTGCAACTATTTATTTTATTTATTCAAATTTTTGTCAACTGATTGACTGTTCAAGTGTTACGTATACAAGGTGTTTGAGTTCTGTAACAATCAAACTTGTGGTTCAGTTTCTGTTATCATCGGAGCGTCCGTTTTTTGGATACCTGTGTTTATTGGTGGTAACAACGGATTATACGCAACAGTGTCGAGTGTAACCACAGTGTGGCGCCAGTTGTTAATAACCACCGGTTCAAAGGGATATATTTGGTGGGAAAGTGCCCACTAAAGGACAAACTCAATAACTCAAAAATCCACTAAACCCCCCACTAAAAACAATAAAAAACCACCAACACTACTATTGTAGCGAGTGTTGTTTACAAAAGCATTCTGGCATTTGATCAAATTTCACTAGTGAAACTACCAAGTGCTACACTATATTTTAAACTGTTCTCATTCCTCCACCGAGACGCCGGATTTTTTGTTATTGTGGATTGAAACAATTTTATTCAAACATTGAACAATTGGACAATTAGTGATTAATGATATGTTGTGATCTGCACTGATGGTGAATTAGTGAGACACTTGGCGGCTTGTCTTTGGGGAAGGCATATTTTTCTCCTACATAGACCACCTCCTCCAGAGGCTTTTTCCCCCTCTTCGGCGTTGGGTACCAACACATTTGTAAGGGACACACTGATTGGGATACCAACAGTACCAGCAGCAGCAGCAGCACAGCAGCTTCAACCAGGCCGCAGACCGACAGCGGCGGCGTTCGAGTCATATCTCTCCGGAGGGCCACGCACCAAACATTTTTTTTTTTTAAATCGGTCTCGTACAATAAAAGGCCAGGGTAGACAGTTCTCCCAAAAACCCTCCAACGCCTAGTGAATCAACTGAGTGTTTACAACAGTGAATGAGAATTTGGAAATAAATATTTATTCACAACACCGAGTTAAACCGTCGGGGCTGTATCACGCGCGTTCCATCCATTTGTTTTGAATTAGAACGCAAAAATTTCTTCACGTACGCTTGGTTACATTCTTAGAAACAAATTGACGACGAATTTTGATCGTTTGTTCGGGGTAACGCGAGTGTAATTGATGAGCAAGGAAGTATACGAATTTTAGTCAAAAATTCAGTTAATGTAATTGAAGGATTTAATGAAAGAAGTGAAGGAATTGATGTCGAATGAATATTAACCGGTGTGATTTATCGATGCACACTTTGGATTAATCGAGAGTGGATTATTCTTGCACGGATTAAATGGAATATATGAGTGCTTCAGAGTGTTGATTACAGTGTGAAATATCACGATTATATATATTCATCCGTAATCGAGTGTTTGTCGTGTGTTCGTTGGTTTGAGAGGAGTAGAAAAATTACTTTGACCCCAAGGGATAACTGAAGGGGGCCCTTATGGCTGTGCACCGAGTACTTTGTTTGTTCGCCTCGAGGAGGTAACCCAAAAAGTGAAGAAAAATTGATTCAACAATTAACAACTATTGAGTTACTGTCATCACGGTGGATTGAACACGAAAATTTGGAGGAAAAGAGGCTCCGTAGTTGGGAGCTTTTTCATTTCTTCCAATGAAAATTCATCTGTCATCAAACATGTGGACCACGATGCTGGTGTGGACGGTGGCCGTTGTGCTTCTTCCGTCACCTCCAACGGTCAGTACCAACATATTTATTATTGTTATTTTATTCTTACCACTTTGATGGCTTTGTCATTGATTCATTCGGACAGTTATCATTTTTTTTTCAACCATAATAATTCGGCTTCCACGAATAATCCGTGAAGGGAACACGAATTTAGTCATTCGACCTGCAGACGCTCGACTAGCTGTCACACAACGACCATTCAATACAGTCCCTATCGACTTTTTCAAACAACACATTTTAAATAACAAAATTCATGCTTTGAAGTATTTCGTATCGGTGATATACTTGCTCCGCCAATTGTAGTGGATTTTTCAGAAATCCTTTAACATTCTAGTCTGTTTTCTCATTCACTTGAGCTTTTGCTGACTGATGTTCACCCTCAAAGACGCCTCCGAGTGATTTGTCCTGGGAGACAAGAAAGAAAGACAAAGAGATGTAAAGCACTTCTAAATCTGGATGGCACTCTTTTAGAAACACAAGTCAACTTGTTATTTTTTCCAAATTACTTCTCCACGTCCGGTTATGTGTAATTTGTAGATTCACACACACCGTTGGAAAGAATTTTCTTCGGTTTGTAATGCAAGATTATCCCCCCTCCGATGAATTAGAAATTACGAATGATGATAGGTGTAGTAGAAAATACCAAGTATGAAGGAACAAAGCTGGAAAAAAAAAATAAAATAAGTAGCATAGCATAAGGCACGTCCATAAATACACGGGAGCCATTGGATGTCCAGGAATAGATCGAAATATACTGAAAGGTTGAATTCTCCTGAAAGACGTTTATACAAAGAAATATGTAGGTATGAACGTAAGAAGCGTTTTCTCACTGAGTAGTTCTCATTGATAGAGTTCAATCCCTTTAAATAACATTAAGAGTTCATAGAGATTAGTTTCTTTTTTATAAACCTGGTAGTTCTGCAGTATCTTCCAGTAAAACTTGGCAGAGGGATATCGTGATTCCCGTTGAGATTTCGTGCAACGCTTCGATTTTCCAGTTTATCGGTTGCCCTTAACTCTCTGGCTTTTTCATTTCCACATTTTTTTTTTCTTTTTCTTCAAACCATCTCGTGAGCTCTTCTACGAATTTCCACGGAAGATAAATCATAATTTTACATCACATAGATCTATGTATGCTGGATAGAACTCGAGAAAAGTATATAAAGGGAGAAAAAAAGTTTGAGGGAGCTTAAAAAGGAGATTTAGGTGCGATCGATGTGAGGTTATCGTTCGGACCATGGAGACAAGACAACAATGTATATAGTTGAAACAAGTAGTTTTCTCGGGCTGTATAAACAGCCGTTACAAATATTTTCAGCGTCTCGTTTGGTCGTCGGTCGCGTGACGTCTTTATTGCATGGACACGCATTTTATTTCTCTTTTATACTTCGCCGAACTAGTCAATGTGAGAATAACTGATGGATTTTGTTCATTGAGTTTCCGTTAAATCCCATAAGAATTCAGGGATATCGTGGAAATGCCACATTGCGAGCTTTCGTTTGATTTGAGTTTTGTTTTTGTAATTGATAAATTAATGTTCCAAGTGTGTATACATGTGAATACATGTGAATACTTGACGGGGGTCGGAAATAACAGCACGTGCATAAAGGAGTGAAGAAGACTCCCGCCGTGCAAAAATCCAAAGTTTTTTTTTATCCCTCTTTCATTCGACTGAAAAATTAGCAAAGTATGAGTGTGCCCTCGGCCAGCACATCTGTACTATCATCATCATGGTGGATCATGGCCAAGATGACGAAAGCGGATGAATGCGTGCAGGATTGTGCCTGTTTACATACCACGTGTGTGATAATCTTTAGTGAATGAATGCAATTCACTGTAATTATTGCGCACATCCATTTATTCGTTTGATGTATTTGTTATTTATTTGGATGTTATCTTTTATTATTTCAGGTGAATGCCTCAGGTGTTTTTGAGCTACGACTTAAGTCATTTACCAATGAATATGGCAAGGATAATACTGGAGAGTGTTGCTCCGGTAGTAAATCGAAAACAGGAGAGTGCACTGGTGTGTGCAAAACAAGATTTCGGGTGTGTTTGAAACAGTATCAAGCCAAAATTGATACAACATCACCGTGTACTTACGGCGATGTCGTAACACCAGTATTGGGTGGTAATATTGTTAATCTCAGTCCGGACATCGCTCTACCGAGCTTCACCAATCCCATCCGATTTCCATTCAACTTTTCGTGGCCGGTAAGTAAATATTTCATCATAATCCTCGATTAATCGTTATAATTAACTGTTTAACTGTATAATGAAAAGAAACGAGGACTTTTGTCCTGAGTAATTGAGCAATAATTGAAACAAGGAGACAATAGGCTTGGATGACAGATGGCATGGTCATTGAGAGGCAAAGTTTAAAAGCACTTCATTTAATCCCAACAAAAGTGCACATGACGTTCTCGATTTAACGGCAGATGGGGTAGACTTTTTGTAACCACAGCTAGAGCTCTAATAGATTTTGCTCTCACTTTTATTTGACGTTCCACCCACTTCCCCTATTTATCTCTCACTATTTCTTCAGAAACAGAGCAAAATTAACTCGACCCATATGGTCCTATTTTCTTCATAGCTTTGAATGATTGTTCACATTAGGTTTTTGCTTTATTCACCCTTCATTTATCTCATATTATAGACAACGTTTACCGAGAACTATCTCGTCTTCTCCTTTGGTTTGATATTTCAAGTTGGTGAAAAAAATATGGACCAAAATTTCTTCGATGTGAAACGAGACAGAGTTGATGGGTAGAAAAAAAAAGGATGGTGGAGACTACTACACACTCCTTCTCGGAAGCGATGTTGAGTAGACTAGAAAATCCTCCGCCACATGGTCTTTTCAGTTTGGTTTCGCTTGGGATGAAGTAGCATTTGGGGAAGGGGATATATAACGTGTGCGATGGTGTTATTCGTGAGGAAACCTGCTTCTCCCAGAGTGTATACACTCGACGAGATTATATAGTGAACGAGAAAACAGATTATCTTGCCATTTTCTTAGGTGTTCCGCCCGCTTTTTTTCTCTCTTTCTCTCTTTCTTCTCCATATTCCCAAAATCGCCTCTTCAGACAAGGAAATTATAATGAGTCCATAATTTTTTAACAAATACTACTTTCCATTGATACTCTCCTTCATCCACCAGTGCAGAATGCTTTCGGCTCTCACGGACCAATCAGTTTAAATACAAGACAAATCATGAAAAATTGAAAATCTCATCAAGCCAGGGAGAGATTTCACTGGGATATCCGCGTATCTCTTCTTTCTTTCTCTTGTTTTTTCCATACAAATGGATGAATGGACGACACGGTAAAGTCTTGCGACTCTGTTCGCAAAACACTTAGCATAAATTATCGGGTAGACCGCGTGCCCATGTATTTTTAGAGATTCCAAACCTTCGAGCCACAAAACTCACCCAAACACTTCTCATGCTCATCTGTTTCCATTTAATTATCCTGGCAATATCCATTATTATTCCAGTGACGTAAAGGCCAGATGTCAAGGTCACAAAATCGGTGCATTTCCATTTCCTCAATTAGTAGATTGTCGATGGATTCATCACTGAAAAATATATACATTAAAAAATAATAAATACGGTAGAATAAAGGAAATGGTGAGGATGTGATAGGTCACTGTAAGAACTTTTACTTGAACTACTCGTTTCCACCTTGCTATATACACACCATCAACATTTAGTACTCGTCTGGTCTCGGTTGACCGTTTCGCGTGGATTAATACCATGGCATCGTGCATATGTATGAATAAAAGTATGAAGCAAAGGTTTGCAGATTCTGGCCATGTATTCAAGTTACGTAGCCGTATGTATACACGTATAGATGCATATATATATACATATATATATATGAGAGAAGAAAAGAGGGAGTTGAGGAGGAGAGTAAGACAGCGAGAGAAGGTGGAGGTATGCCGGCCACAACCCGTGGGAACCAACTCCTGAGTGAGCTGCATGCTCCTTCTCACTCTCGTCTTCTTCATCGGTTAACTTCTCTCCCACTTGCTTTCTTTCTTTCTTTACCTCTTTATCTCTCCAATGTTCGTATTTCATTCCTTCGCTTCTTCCCTTCCACCTCTTTTACTTTTCATTCGTTTCGTCGACGCTCTAACCCCCATAGTTCTTCGAACCAACCCCGCCTTCTCTTTTTCTCTCGCTTCCATTCCAATATAAAACTTCCAACGTCCGCTCGTTTCCATTAAACAAAGAGACTCTATATAAAAGCGTGCTATATACGTTTGCCTATGTATATATGGTATACAAGTGTGCGAAGGTTTAAAGGATACAACTGGGAGAGGATTGCTGAAACCCACCCAACATTGTTTCCCTTGTGAAATGTCCCTCTACGATTTTTAACATTTCGATGGGTTTTTCGAGAATTTTTTACTTTATTTTTATTCACCCATTTCATTTGACTCTTTCTCTTTTTTTTTTATTCTTATTTTTTGTTAGTCGGCTTCAATTCCAATCTCGGTTATAAATTTGCGGAGGACGATCATGGTGGCATTTATCTCTTCCTCGGTAATTCATCTTACTTCTTTTTTTTACACAACCATTCGAACGTAAAAAAAGGGAAAACAATTCCCATGTGATATATATTTATGCGGTGATTTTTTTTTTCATTCTCATTCTTTCTTTATCGTTAACGAAATAAAACGTATTTGTCACGGTATGTACAAATTTGCGTGGCAAATATCGTGAACATGGAGTACTACTATTACACTTTTCATCTGCTGTCATCGCATGCGTGCAATTTTTCCTGCCGCCAGACCCATGAACGGATATAAACATTAATTATTCAGTGTACATAACGGGATCCTGTGTATGCATGTCGTTGACGTTTTAATAATTAAATGCAAACACCAACTGAACAAAAAACAAGCAAAACCAAGTGAGAAAATAGTCGAACATGATATTACCCAGTGGTATATTACATCCAGTGCAATATGATACGATGATATTTCTGCCAAAATACTTGACAACTTGTCCAACTTTCTTCGCTGTCATTTATCAGAAGAGCGTTGTGAAAAAAGTTCTTTTTTTTTTTCAAGGTAACTCGTTCAGGTCTGGAGTTGTTCTTAACGACTGTAACACGTGTGTATGTCGGTAGCACGCGTCGTCTAAACTCCCCTTTTCTCTACTCTTTTTCATATATCTACCACAGTGATGATTTATATCAGGCATTACAGAAGTTGCTGTTCATCGCAATAATCCAGCCCAATACTCCAATCTATGTCATTCCTCATTTTGACATGCCATTTTCATCGATGGAACTTGCTAATCAACATTTTTATCACATTTTTGGCTAGTGTTTGCGTGTACTTCACTGTACAATAGACAATTCTTCCTTCTTCCCTCTTTTCACCCTCTTTTCATCCCCCTATTCATCCCCGTTTCACCCCTTTTCTGATGCACACGCCAGGTGCACATACGGTTAATATCGCTATTCCCCTGTTGTCCCACTGGTGGATAGGACAAACTGTTGTTGCATCGCTTAAATTCACAATTAATTGCGCAATTCCAGGGCACACGACCATGCCAGATGCCATCAGATACACTGAAATTGTTCAATTAATTATTCATTTTTTACAGGTGATATTGATTGGCATTGTGAATGAATAATCATTTTTTTCTTCAACAGGGGACATTCTCGCTGATCGTAGAGGCATACCACGAGGTTGAAAACATTACGGGGCATGCGCCTGGTAAGTTGAATTTTTTTAAAACAAATTTTACTACTTCGATACTGGGACCGATGGGGTGGGGGATGCTTCTGGATTAGAGAGGATGTTGACTGACTTTTATATGATTATTGAAAGTGAAGTGCGACCGGGAAGGAAAACTTAATCGTGATAATATAAGCACAAGTGATTAATTCCTGCATGCAAGGTATATGATACTCGTAGAAGGGGCCCACGCCGGGGATTTACCCTGGGGGCATGTGCGGGCCAGCTGGATTATATGTTAAAATGCGGTATATGGGTAGAGAGGAAGAGAGACAAGACAGAGACCAACCAAGAAGCCACTTCCGCTCGTGTGCGACATTTACCAGATATTTCTACGTGTTAAAAAACCTCTAGTGCATTGCGCGTTGTTATCGTCCTCAACATTTCAAGTTGTTTTGTAGATTTTTTCCGTTATTTTGATATACCTCAAATTCTGTTACATCTACAAGCTTTCTCACTGGTCATTGCTCAATGGATATCGTCTTACGACGCACTCGTCCAGCATTTAAACTCGTCCAAGTGCACACCAATGGAACTGTCCTTCTTTAGATTAGAATAGTCATGTTGTTGGAGGAAGATGGGGGATGATGAAAATGACAAGTGTGAATGAAGCAGGACGGAGTGAGTACTCTCCAAGCCACTAGTATTTCCTTCCTGTGTAACCGTATAGTATGTACCTCACACGCTGTGAGGATAACATGACACTCAACCCCATTCGATATACATACGAAAATACGCATTTTTTTTTATTTATAGAGCTTACCCAGGCTTACGTAGTATTCTACTATATACGTTGAGTGACAAGTGAAACGGATTTTTATTCTTGTACAAATTGGGTTGAACCTTAATCTTCCATCTGTCCATAAGAGACAAAAAAAAGTCGTTCTTCAAAAATATTTATCGCCCCTTCATTATTGTACTTTTTTTTTTGGCAGATTTTTGGTCAGAAAAAAATGAAAACGGTTTCTCAAATGCTTCCGTAGAATATCGAGGGCAATATACATACAGGGGGATTTTTAGAAGAACGTTTTGGCAGGATTTTACGTGAAGGATAAGAAGAAGGAGAATAAAAAAAAGTTGGCACGCAACCATCACCAAGAAACGAGCCCCTTCATTGCTGGGCTTACTGTTCAGATGCTGGTTTGCTTCCTTTCTCACAATCGTTTTCAGACCCATTTCTCATCTTCATCTCCACCGGGTTTCTCTTTTTCCTTTTGCCACGTTTTTTTTTTTTATTTTCTACCTGCCTGTGGTACTACACACCTGCGGAACCCAAAGGCCGAAAAAAATTCTCCTATTTTTGGCATTAGTTTGGCTTTTGAGAATTAATAGAGTGGTAGAATCACGCGATAAAAATTATCTCCTCCCAGATTTTTTTCCATGATTTTTTTTTCCTTTCGTTCTGAGATCACACCGGTCTAGGATCGTAGACGAGGAGACCCATTCCTGGACGGTCAGACGTGCCCTCTGATTTTTTCAATTAGTCTAATGATATGCACCTGTATCGAGTAATTCCGATAATCAACTGTAGTTCTCCCAAATATGTATTTATTGCGAAATCCAAAATTTTTTGCGTTTTGCAATTATTTAATGACTCACGAAGTTTCGAGGTGGTGCGGTTATTTTTCTTTTTTTCAATCTAAATTTTTCAAAATATTACAAATACATATAAAATAATAAATAAACAATACACAAAGAAAACATAACGTTTTCACGTCACGATAATTCGCCAGAAGAATAAAAAAATGAATTTTCAGTAAAAGTGCGTGGAAGATATTTAATATTGTTTTGAAAAAAATAGCCTATAGTTCGAATGCACTGAAAAGATAACTACCGAATGCTCTTCAATTTTATACGATCATTCACCTCGAACAGGCGACTTACTGATACTCTTCTTGAAACCGCGTCTCGACGGCCGTGAGAGCCAAATCAAGTAGCGCCAGGCGCATCATCTGCCGGTGCCGGTATAACTCTTGAGTGGTGTTCTCTCCCTTTACCCCTTTTACGCACAGACTGCCGTTTTCGTAGGCCATGCCACTTCCCTTCTGGGAACAAAAATACGCAAGGAGGATTGGCTTGAGCGTTCAAGAAAGAGAGGCGACTTTAAGTATCTCCGGGCACGCCATCCGGACGAAAAATGCCCACTCCACCGTTCCCCTCCACCCCCAAATATCTCCCCAGATTTTTCCATTTCGATTATACCATATCCTAAAAGATAACAAGAGACATATCCCACTTTATTATCGCAAACTCTAATTTGTTTTCGCCAAACTCGCGTCAAACAGTGATCCATTTACTTTTCACGGGGTAGGTGAGGAGAAGGAGGAGGAGGAGGAGGGGGAGGGGGAGAAGGTGCACATAACGGGCCACTCTAATTTACCTTTACCTGTTCCCTCTGGCCATAAAATGAGACGAAAAATGACGGTTAAAATGATGGAGAAATAAGGTGAAGTGGATACATAAAAATGGGTGGAGAGGAAAAAGAACGAGGAAAAGTACGACGAGGGGGAAAAAAAGGGATGAAAGAAGACTTCTTTCCCAGAGTCTATGTAATGTACTCGATGTACTGAGTCTCAGTGTGTGTACTCTTCTTTCTGCCGGATGCGTACCGTCGGCGAAGCAGCAATAGCGGACGAGCGTCCGGTCTGGCCACGGCTGAGGCCGATGCACTTCGATCATTCGAGCTGCAAACCAACTTCATCTTCTGTCCTCATTATCACTAGCATTCTACCATTCGTTTTTTTTCTTTCTTTTGCAGAAAAAGTCTTGATAAGGAGGTATATGGATCAACGATGGCTGGATGTTGGCACTGATTGGACACCAGCTGAGTATTCTGACGGTGGTACACGTGTGACTTTCGCATTCAGGGTTACTTGCAAGCCCCACAATTATGGAAAGGGTTGTGAGAAAATATGCAACCCCCGGGATGACATCTTTGGGCATTACAGTTGCAGTCCAACGGGGGAGCGTGTGTGCTTGTCTGGATGGAAAGGCGATTACTGTGCTACTCGTGAGTATTTCATTTTTTTTTTCATTTGTATTCCTTACGAATCATTAATTTTCCCCTCGTATTCAGAAAAAACATGAATTCTGCTGAGGAAATTTACGGCGTGCATGTGTCGGTGTATATTAATGTTTCTAATCGATTGTTTTGCGATGGTAAATTCAAAAAATTATCATTCATAAAGAAATAATTAAGCCAGAAGAGTTAACGATAATTCAAGTAATAGGGGATTTTTTCCAGAACAAATCTCTTTGAATTCAAAAAATGATAACCAACTCTAATAAATTCAATTCATCAGATCTTGTTGTGTCTATTATTTGTCATTCACTCGGTGATTGGTTTAAAAAAAAACCCTAGATTATACAATGTGAAGGTAATTACCCCCTCCCCTTGCTGTCCATTGCGAGGACGACCTCGTTTTTATTCCTCTGGGGGAAAAACTTTCTTCGGTTGATTACTCACTGAAAGAGTCGATTTTTCCTTTTTCCAAGGGTTGAAAACGAGGAGAATTCATCTCCATTGAGGTCTTCCACTGTCTGAATGGCAACAGTTAGCATTTTAATTGAGGGGGTAAAAACGATCGTTGGCTGCACTTGCGCACAGAGATGTAACATCAATTGTAGGGAAGTATCAGTGGAGGAAGGGTTGAAAGTGAAATCGGGGGTGTAGGTTGGTTGATTTCTTTTCTCGGGATTATTTTGGAGGGTGATGGTAGGGTATCCAATGGAGAATGAAGGGGAAGAGGCAAAGAGCAAAAGCAGCTGCGACGCGCGAGCCCAGGGCTCAGGGCTTGGCTTCGACAGCTGCCTCTGGTTCGGGTGCTTTAACCAAACAGCTGCGCCCGACTTTACTCTAGACTGCTTCTCCTTCATATCCATCTGTCCTTATTTTTCTTCACTATATGAGAAGACCGTACCTACCTATCCAATATTGGTACCTGCTTTTTCACCAATTCTATACCTGAAAAATCTATGCTACCTCAACCTTGAGTTTTTTTTTTCCTCTCTTCTCCACCGGTATTGAACGAGCAGGTAATGCATTCAGCATTTATTATCCGTTGGAACTGCGAGGGGTCGTACACACCCTCACCAGTGGTTAAATTTGGTGGGACCTGCAGGACAAAGTTGAAAGCGACATTTGTGTGCCCCTACGTGTAAAGTGGCTACGGAAAATCGATAGAGTATGACCGTTAAAACCCGTCAATGGTGGGACCATTTAAAAGGATGCGTGTGTATGTGTCGAGGGTCAGGTATGGAGGAGCCGGAAATTCCGTTGAAAACTTTCCAATTACATTCCATTATTCTCTATTCATTCATTCGAGAAAACGTGCTAATTGCAATTATTCAAAAATCGTGGATGGGAGAACAGATAAATGTGTGATATATTCTGTCTTGGTCGCGCTATTTTCATTCTCCATATATATTTTTTCACTCGTTCATTTATTTATTTTCCTTTATTGCCCGTCTTCTTTTTTTTTTCGCTTCCTCTTTGACGCAATGTCGGTGAATTTTGCCAGGGTACTATGGTCGTCTTTCTTTCCTTTCCCTAGCTATCTCTGTCTGAGAGCGGTATCAGGATCAGTGGAATCCCTGCGATTCGGCCATTCCTTTCGGCGTCGATCCAGGGAGTCAGAGACTATAAATACCTCGTCGCTTATTCGCGCACGACGTGAGTTCTCCGTGGAGAAGTGCGAGAGAAAGACAGAGAAAGATAGATAGATATAGAGAGAGTGAGAGAGAAGGGGGGGATTTGTTAGGGTCTGAAAAATTTTCTTAAAACCATTTGCCTCACTTGCCACCCCTTACATCCTCACTCTGCACATTCGATTTTTCAAATTCCCATTTACACAAATTATTTCATATTCTACTGCCTTTTACAAAAAGTCACTTTTACCGATTTTTCGGATTTCCCTCATTTACACAAGTTGTTTCACATTCTGTAAGCCTAATGCAACTTTTTAATAAATTTTCAAGGTACTTTTGCAATTTTGACAAAAAGTCACGTTTACCGATTATCCGAGAGAAAATCAATGAATATATTTATAGATCGGTAAAAATACTTTAAAATGCTCAAGTGCATCATTCAATCTTTAGTTTATTTCTCCTTGAAAGCGTATAGAAAAGGCAGGGAGCGGTAAAGCACACCTCCTTCCAACCCCCTATTCCAGTAGATCGTATCGTCCTTTACCTGGACCCAAGAACGACTATAAAATTCCCCGCGGGCATACGTCGTCGATTAATTTAAGTCCGGCGAAGAAAGAAAAGGGGAGAGATGGGGTGGCGGGTGGTGGGATAGCGGGGGGTGGTGGGGTATGGAGGAGGGGATTACCAAGGGAGCATGAGAGAGATAAAGAGAGGTAAAGAGAGGGAGGGAAGCAAAAAAGATACAGGAATGCCTTCACTCCAGCGATCCTCTGTAGCGAGTGGATCCGGCGATGCTTGCACTACGGGTTAAAACTTTTCAGTCTCCTCTTCTTCTCCTGTGGCTCTTTCTTGCACTTATATATAGGTACTAATGCCTGAAAAAAAAAGAGCGACGGGAGGGGAATCGAGGGGGTGGGGAATAACACAAACACACGAGAGAACCGACCGCTACTGCTTGCCCTGTGGCTCCGAGCCAAAAGCGTCGGCCTCTTCAGATATTTCCGGACTGGACAAACGCCCTTTCATTTTCAGTCAAAGTCACATGTACCTCGATTGTCATCCACCATTTTTCATTCATTCATTTCCCCAAAAATTCCGCACAATTCTCTCAATCATTGCGTCATCAAATTTTTATTTCCGCGTGGAAATATTGAATGAGGAATTATCAATGGTGTTAATTCAATTCTGGCATAATTAATTCATTTGGATTCCCTGATTCATTCGTTGGTTTTTGAATGTGTATAGTAGTGACTATTATAAAATATACAAAGACTGTAGTTTTTGATTTTATTTAATTTTGTAATTATGTGTCGTTACAGCTCGCTGTCTGCCTGGATGTGATGAACAGCACGGACACTGCACAGCACCCAACGAGTGCAAGTAAGTACAGCACTGACAACAAGTGATGATGATTTAAGCTCTATAATAATGTTTCGACTGACTCATTTCCAATGTCCAACTCTCTATGAAAATCCTTGAAAAATCATTCTCTCAGTGTACAGCATTTGGAAATACGACCCACGGATCGCAAAACGCCGACTCCATAACGTGCATACTACTCCGGTATTTCGTAACCTATCCTAAGCCACCTCTTTCCTCATCTATATAAAACTCTATGTACATTCGTTTCATCCTCATAGATTTTTCACTGTGTGTGAGTACATGAAAATGACACGTATCACGATTACACACGTACACGATAAATACATGTACGCATTGTACATAGAGAAAGGCGTCTAATCTTGAGAGCACTGAATAAATGAAAATGAAGGAAGCACTATAAGAATCGAAACAAAGAGAAATCTAATGAATGACACTGGCGAACGCTGACAAATAAATGAATCTCGTCTGATGGAGTTTAACCCGGGCTTACGAGTTAACTCGATCATCTAATTACTCTGCAGACCGCGGGGTTAATTGTCACGACTCACTGCGAGAAGGCGAGTCCTCACACAATGAGTGAGGATCAAAAGAATATAATTATACAATTGAATGAGGGGAGAAAAAAAGAGGAGCGAAGAGGGACAAGAGGGAATGAAAAAAAAAAATCAAAAATAGAACTATGCGAAAACGGTAGTCGACGCACCCTGATGATTCGCGGAAGACGTACTTGCCGTAAATTCGTCGTTGGCCATTTAACCTGTAATACGATAGAAGGCGGAGATCGTGGGAGAAACACCGAGGCCAATCTCTCTCCTCAGTTATGTATATATACTGAATACAAGGGATCGGTTATACCCATGTTGTATTACGTGAAAGAATTGCAGGACGGTTTTGTGATTGAAATTTTTGGAGAGTTCTATTTCATTTGAAAGTGGGGGTGAGAAGAAGGCTGAGTACATTTCTTGGGTAGTGGTAACAGCTGAATACTGATTAACCATATAACCGGTGAATATACCACGAATATACCATGCACCTACATACAACTTACATACCAAAATGCTTCAACATCTCACAGATCTCAGATCTCACAATCAATATGAAAAATTCATAGATTTTTATTACGACAAAATGAACAATTCCCTCCGGAGCTGCTATATATTTTTTCAATGAAGCACCTGTCGTGTTACGCACTTTAAATGTTTAAGATAACTCGGTAGTACAGATATGGGGTGTAAAAACAGAGATATTCAGCCATTGGTTTTTTTCACTTGATATCCACCTTATTCCTCTTTATCTTCCGTTTCTACGTGAGTTTCCCTGGCCTTTGGGGGCCCGGTTTAGCTTGGTTGAGTTCGGCATCAGCCACCTTTCCTCTGCCCCTCATCCCATTTTACCCATGAAACGAAGAGTAGGTATACGAGATTTAATGGTATAGTCATGCGACGACGGCAGCAGCATTGCGCGTCGGTGTAGATTCATACACATATACGTCACTCTTCTGGATTATTGTGTTGGTAAGAGACCAGAAGAGCTGAGCGAAACGGCCGTCCCATGTACACACACATTGAAGGTGTAGGAGGGGGAGGGGTGGAGGGAGGAGATCTACCTTATAAAACTAATACACGTACATCGGGTTCCATACACATATGCAAGGGGGAGGGGGTCCGTAACCTTTCCTTGACCCGCATACTGAACGGCTGTGCTGTGGCTCGAACCGTGGGAACACTACTCGCCGACTCATCCCCACTCGGACACCATTCTTGTCCGGCATCCCTGTTTCAACAGCCACCATGCCTCCTCTCTTTTACTCCTTCATATCTTTTTGCCGTTCACCTCTACCACCACTACCAACACCACCAACACCACCAACACCACCAACACCATCACCACTACTACTACCACCATCTCGACGCCTTGGCTTTTCCCTCTTTTTGTTTTTGCCATTTTATTTTCTCATTTTTCGCCCCTTCTATCCCCCGTACACCTCAGTCTCTCTATCTTTCACCCACCCGGACGCCCTTTCATCTCGCGGATCCCTTCGTCTTGTATGGTACGACGTAATGGCCGACCACTACATCCTCTTCTTTCTTATAACCAGGGAGCCCACCTCCATTCCAGCTTTATGTATCGTTCTTCCTTCCGTTTATACTCCTTCTCTCACTTCCATGCTTTTTTATATCCCCTAAACTTTACCCACTATTTCTCTGTTTTCTCAGTTTTCAACACAATGTTGTGATAACGAATAATAAAAACTAAAGAAATGCTTTGTTTTTTTTGTCTGTTCCAACAGATGTAGTAAAGGCTGGAGTGGAGCATTTTGCGATCAATGCATGAGGTATCCAGGATGTTTGCACGGTACCTGTCAAAAACCATGGGAGTGTCTGTGCAACGAAGGATGGGGTGGGTTGTTCTGCAACCAGGATCTGAACTACTGTACGAATCACAAGCCATGCCTCAATGGTGGTACCTGCTTCAATACCGGTCAGGGCTCATATACCTGCTCATGTGCACCAGGCTTCAATGGTACTGACTGTGAAAAACCCCTCAAGGATTGTCACTCAAAGCCCTGTCTCAATGGTGGCGCATGTAGCATGATAAGCAATAGTACACAACAGCAGCAGCAACAACAGCATCAAGAGCGACGAATTACAACAAGATCTTATGCAACGTCAAACACAAATATCACTGATGCTGCATTACCACCGATTGCCTATCGTTGCACATGCCCACCAGGATGGAGTGGTCGCCACTGTGAAATAAGTTCTCGTTCGTGCAGAGATTCACCATGTCTTCATGGTGCAACTTGCGTTGATGACTCATTGAAAGGTTATACGTGCCATTGTCCATCAGGTTATACTGGTACAGACTGTGAAGCCCAAATAAACGAGTGTGCACCAAATCCATGTTTGAATAATGGCACATGCTCAGATGTTCTCAATGGATTTCGATGCAGCTGTCGCACTGGATTCACCGGCTCCCGATGTGAGATTGATATAAATGAGTGTGAAAGTGATCCATGTTTGAATGGTGGCACCTGCGTTGATAAGGTGGGCGAATACCGATGTCATTGTATACCTGGTTTCACCGGATCTGTGTGTCAAGACAAAGTTGATTACTGCCGTGCTAAACCATGTGCCAATGGTGGTAAATGCATATCCGGTACGAATGACTACACATGCATATGCAAGCCTGGATTCACCAATAAAGATTGCAGTATTGAGGTTGACGAGTGCAAAAGTGCGCCCTGTCAAAATGGTGGTATATGTACAAATCGTGTCAATGAATTTTTATGCGAATGCAAAAAAGGATGGCGCGGTGGTACATGCAGTGAGCCTGACACTGGTATAGCTGTTGGACGGGCTGTTACATCAGGTAATAGTGGTAATAATGGTGTTCCACCATCTGGGGCGAGTTACTGGTCTGGTAATCTGTCAAGGCCCTCGGCCGAAGCAAGAGACGCTGGACTAACGACTGAGCACGTTGTTGTCATCGCAACATTGTCAACGGCAGTACCAGCGTTTGTTCTCGTTGCTGCTCTAGCTGTAATGTGTATGAAGAGAAGACAGAAACGTGAGCAGGCAAGAGCGGATGAAGAAGCGAGACTGCAAAACGAGAGAAATGCTGTTCACAGCAGTTTGAGTAAACGTAGTGCATCGACTGGTTGTGGTGGTGGTAATGGTAATGGTGTCAGTATGGTTGGACCTGGTGGTGTATTCCAGAGCAGTGCTGGTTGTAGTAGTGGACTGGGTGGGCCTGGTACTGGTGTTTGTTCACTTGGTACTGGTGATTCTCACATGATTAAAAATACGTGGACAGCAAATAAGAGTGTTAACAATGCAACTGTAACGAGGGACGATCTTGACTCGTCTTTTCAGACTGACAGTGGTCTTGATATATCGTGCGGTGGTTACAAACCCGAGCCTGTTATGTCGGACGGTAGGTCAAGAACTCCAAAACAATTGAATACTGAGGCTGCGGCCCATCGTGCATCACATCATTTTCAAAAAGAAAAAGACATTTGTGCTAGTGTTGGTGTACTCGATGCTAAGAGGACGTCAATGTTCTCGAGTAATGCGTTGGATAGTTGTTGCGCAAGCAGCGATCCTTCTTTATTGAAGAGGCCAACATTAACGGACAGTGGTGTCGGTGGGGGTGGGGGTGGTGGTGGTGTTGGCAGCGGGGGTGGTTGTGCCAGTGAAGCCAACTGCGGTGTTTATGTTATAGACGATCATTATAGACACGATGCAGCATTAGCTGCCACGCTTGCCACCGAAGTGTAGTTGTGAATTTTAAACAATATTTATTAACTAAGGATATGATGATACAGATGAATTCTGATGAAAAAGACTACTATGAATTTTCGTTCTCTCCATTATTACCAATCAATTGTATTTAACATCTTTATCTTCATTTGCTCCTTGATTTTTGTCGGTAATTGCCATTTGTATCAAAGCAACATATGCTATTTATCGAAATTCATCATGCGAATATATATTCATATTTCTTTTTTGTCCATTTATCACGCTTAATTTATATATTCAATGCGCCGAAGAGATCAACGCGAATAACTGGATTATTTCGTATTCAAGGATAGCAAATATGATGTAGAAATAGAGAGACGAAGATAACAGTGAGAGATGCTGTGTCGGCAATGCTCAAATGCAAAGCCAACTCCACGATAATCCCCCTCTACTCCTTTCACCTCTTATGTTTTTTTCTCCCTCCCCACTTAGATATTTAATAATTATTATGCTCGAAGCAAGAAACTCTGTACAGAATTAATTTATTATAATTGTTATCTATTATTATTAGTGGATGTTCCTCTGTGCGTGCTGTTGGTATTACTTTGTTGAGGTAATAAGAATGTAATATCGATTGCTTCATTATTGATAATAACAATAATATATACGCATTATCATTGTTCCAGTAAATTATGAAAAAAAATTGTCTTTTTGTGAGAAGAGCGACCTCTTACGCGACAAATTATAGAAATTGTAAAACGCTCGTATTAAGTGAATGTGAATGTGTCTGTGAGAATACATTGTACATGAGTATATATGTCATGTAAATAGTTCATTATATTCTTTTTTGTATTTTTTTTTGCGTCAAATATGGAAATTGTCTGAATTTATGTGTATATATTTATATATACATTTGAATTTCGTAAAAATGGTTATTTTTGCTCTCGGGAAATGTCTTCTTTTTTTTTGATGACCCAGTTTTTTAATGCGCGTGGTCTTTACGGGTCATAAATTAGATCTTGTGAGAACTTCAATGGGGAATTGAATTGATTCCTATTGGAAGTCATCCAAATCACGAAAAAATGTGTTCAAAACTTCAATCGTAATGCAGCAAACAATCTGGAATTTTCAGATATAGAATTATAGAATCATCTTGGAAATATGGCACTTGCAACCATAGAATTGTACTTAGTTAATTCCTTGGTTGCAAGCAGATTTAATTGAAGGATTTTTCAAAGGCCCTTTATGATTCTTTCCATACATATTTTATTTTTATGTTTCCCTTTATATGCAGACATTAGAACAACAACTGATTTATGTGAGAGAACGATAAAAAAAATGTTTCTGTCGCTTTCGACAACGAACGGCAAAATGTGACTGTCTGGTAGTTTCCAAAAATAATTTGCAACGTAAAAAAAAAAAGAAATGCAGTGACGTCCCCCCACCTTTTTCGTCTCTTCAGATGAGACTAAAGCGGGAACGCCCCAGCAACTCTTTTCTCGAGACATTGCCGGTCGTTTGCGAAACCTAGAAATGAAAAAAAAATTGATAAATATAAGACAAAATTATATTCATTCAATTGAAGCATGCAGTTGAATGATCAACAGCTGAAATCGTGTGAGGAACTTGAAATGTGAATTGTATGGTTAGACCGCGCGTTAATTATGTGACTCATGGGCATTTGTATGGTTCTGATGGAATGCATGATGGTGAGAAAGTCAGTCTTGATGAGATTACGAGTATCATAAAATTTATTTGTATTTTTTAAATTGCTGTTTCTGATATATCTTTCTGTTTATTTTTCTACGTATTTTTCTGACATAGATATAATAATGACGTAAGCCATCAAGATGCTCAGATCAACATCATGATTTCATTTGGAAAAATATGATAATTAGATGAAATAAGAGCGAATACATTGGTTGAATGGATAATATTGTGGATAATTATGTGTTTGTTATCGCGCGATTTAATGTATAATTATTTATTTTGTCGAACTGATTCATTTACAAGCGTACAGCATCGAATGAAAACGCCGCAAAAGTGAAAATTTAAAAATGAGAAATAAAATAACATTATCAATCATGACAAATATTTTCTTTAATAGACCTTTGTGACGATTCATAAATTTGGGAATTATTACAATGTCATTCTTCTGTCAAATTTATTCAACTGGGGGGAAAATAAATTGCCAAAGTAGTAAAGAGTTATCAAAGTTTTTCTGTCCATTTTTTTTCTTTTTTCGAAAAAGTAAACGTACTTAAAGATAGTTCTCATGGATTTCTAATTATCCAATTTCTTGAGAAAAGTAATCTGAATTTTCTCCATATACGTTCACCTTCTAATTAGGAATAACGTGAAATTGATAAGCAGTATATCTACTGTGTTGTAAATGTCCCAATTTTAATGAAAAGTGTAAATTTCAATTTTTTTGTACATGAACATTGCGCAATTTTTAAGTGTTTCCCACTAGATATACGCTTTGCAGAATAAAGTAATGTAAAAAAACCGTGGAACTTTATTTATTCCAACTTGACGACTTTTACAATCACCGTGATACGTACTAGCAAGTTTAATTCAATTTATACTTACATGTCAAATAATTTCGACTATACTCTCAGCTAATTTTTCTAGATAATTACATTTAATTGACAAATTGTAATTAATTGAATCATGGCACTGAATATGATTGCATATGTGAAGACTTTTTCCGAACCAAGGGATGAATTTTTTGTATAAATTAGAAAGGATCTCTATAAATCATAGTAATCGTACAATCGAAAACTGATAATAAGAATGTGTATATTTGATGTAATTGTCCAATTCGAATGATAATATTATAATTATATTATCGTGGCTTGATCAGATTGTACTAGATTTTAAGCTCATTATATTGTAATTTAAGAATTAATTATCAATTGTCACTATCATCAATCTAGTGTATTATTAATATTATTATATTGTGTAAATATATAAACAATTGTCAATACAAATGAGATTGGGAGAGATGAGCAAGTGAGCGATTAATAATGATGATATAATTGAACATATGTCTTTTTCTTTATTCCTGCAATCAATTTTCAACTTCAGGCATCTGCTGTTTCTATATTTAACAAATTTGCTGTATATTTTCGTCCTTGAAGCTTGATGAGTAACGATTGTCCTTCATTCGGTGAATAAATCACATCAGTTTTACAAAGTGGCCTGCCAATATTCAATATATATATAATATATATATTCGTCACATATTCACTCATATGAGAAATATTTTCCGTAAGTGTCTGAAAAGTTTTCGGTTGAATTACTAGTACTATCAGATAAAAATAATTATAAAATTATAATCTTCAAAACGTCTTACAGGTATATTAGTATCATTCTGTCACTTTTCATTTTTTTATGCTGATCTACAACAGATTGTTTATCGAATTAACGTGAAGAAATTGTTTCTGAATTTTAGCGTTATTTAATTACCTCGAATTATTTTCGCACTCCCACGATTTTGAAAACCTTTTTCCAACGTTTTGCAAAAATCACAGAATTATAAAAAATATAGAGAAAATACAGTCGCCCGGCTTAAAAATTATGTGGGTCATTTTTTAACGAGCTGATCTACATTTCGCTAGATATCTGCAAAAAAATTCAAATTGGCAAAGAGTTTTTGCATTTATCAATTAGCAAACATTTATCATCGCGGAAGGTGTGGTATAATGAGCACTAGATTTTTTTGTAAAAATCTCCTTGACTAAAAGATATATTGATCAATTGATCTCAATCCTGAGGGGACACAAAGAGAAGTTTCTCTTCAAGCAAAAAAAAGCACTTCATCAGGAGTTGAATAAAAAACATTTGATGAAAAATATAGAAGTAAAGGGGATAGCATCATGGAGTCATGCTTGATGTTCTCTTTTCACAAAATTTACTTTCACTAATATCAATTTAGCAAATAAAATAGAGAATGAACAGGCGAACTGACAGTCAGAACTCTTCTCGAATCGTAAAATCTTGATCTATTTAGTTCTATGCAACTTCTTCGACTTCTCCAATTCGTGTTGATTTTGGAATACTTCGACGAGTGCCAAATCTACAAATACCTTGAGCTTCAGTCAGCCAAAAATCGTAACTGAAAAGCCCTTGGAGGCCATAAAAAATTATAAAACAAATATCTATTGCTTTTCATTAACTATTCTAAGCCTTAAACAGGGATTACCAATAACTCCTAATTTTTCATGCCTTTAGGAATTAAATTTCTGGGATACCATGGATCCGATTGACGTGAAAATAATACCGTTCTTAAACCCGGTTATTTTAATTTGTTACCTTTTTAAAAATTAGATGCAGTTTACTTAACCGCTTTTTCTCGAAAGTTCTTAACATTCTCTATTTTTAGGTTTACTGTTTATGATTACCATTATGTTAAATGCAATTCTCTATTTGACATTGCTTTAAAGAGTAATTGCTGATATCTTCTAATTTTTCATTTTTTTTTTAATTTATGGAGAACCCTTGATCAGGTGACCGTGGGAAAATATCCTTGAGATATTAAATAATAATGACACTTTGAAACCGTATATTTCTTCAATTTTATTAATCGGTTCTCAAAAATTTGTAAAAACCTTGAAAAATGAGAACATTTCCGAAATAACTGCCTAAAGTAAGTGTAAATGACTTACCCAATAACCCAAGCGACTGAAATTTCCAGAAAAAAGGCCAACGCGTGCGCAAATAATTGGAGTGCGTTTTATTAGTTTTGGATGACTTCCATGGCCTCCTAACATATTCCTTCAAAATTTTTCTTTCCCCGGAGTATTGATAGAATGACTACAGAAACCTCAGAATACCCTCAGTCTAGCCTCCGCAGTAAAAACACTACATTTCACTACAATTCCGATTTTTTCCCGAGATATCAGCGATATTAGGGAAGAAAAAAAAAATCGTAAAAGAATCCTAAAGATTATGCTCATACCCACAACTTACTATTACAAGCGGAGAAAAATAAGTGGGCCAGTTGGGCCTCCCCTTTGAATATTCTTAAACGTTTTATTCTGAAACGTCTGCTCCAGTACAAACACCGACTGCTCAATCTTCACATGGATCCATTCCATCGGGGCCTTTTCTCACGGGTTAAACTACATGGATTTCATTCCGCAGTATATCAAAGACCCGGTTGAAGATTATGCCGGTTTTTGGGAAAGGTTAATGAATGCAAAGCAACTGAAACAACAACAGGACATGTCACTCAAGATCACTCTTTGTACATAAAAATTATGTCATTACGAATTCATCACTCATTAAGGATGGGCCAATCTTAAATCAAGATTCAGATATCTATACATAACTCCGAATGTAACACTACCGTTCTCCCATCGCGTGACTCAATTCATCTTGTGGTGCTGAATTTCAAGATAAATCAATTTAATTTATTCATTCAAGTACAAGCCCATGTAATTCAATGGGTCAACGATAAAGTGTGTCATTTTCTATCTGTCGCAGAGTTCGAGGTAGACATTGTGATGATAGTAAATGTTCACGTCTTCCGGGTTTCTTCGGGTTCTTGAAGAATATTGAAATGCATCTATTGGATATAAAACGGAAAAAGGCATTTCCAGGAGATGGAGTCTTTCGGTTTTTGGAAACTCCTCGAAGTGATTCCAAATTAGGGAAGATATGGCAATTTCAGTAATTAATGGGGAAATGAATTGTTGCTTTTTAATTGATTGAAAGAGTCCCTCCTCATGCGCATAGGTATGACATCAAATTTGACTTCTTTGATTGGATAAAAGGAAAAATACTTTAAGAGATAATTGAGAGGAAGAATCTTTCTTTTATAAATGGAAGATATGTATCGCTTAAACGTAAAACATGCTGTATTCATATGGGATTGGTAAAAATGAGAGAATAAATGTACTGAGATAATTTTTTGTTTCCGAATGGAATCGCAATCATTGGATTTCAAGTTTATAATTTTTCATGTTTGGAGGAGTAATTGCAGGCTTAAGAGCCTTCATATAACTCTCCAATTGAAGCATTTGAATCTTTCCACTTGAAATTTCACATTTTTTGGGTCAGGATGACCAATTTTTTGATAGGGAATTGGAAAATGACTATCGGACAATTATTTCTCGAGGATCACTCAAGAATAATTGTTCAATTTCATTCAATCAGGGCTTAATAGATTCGTTTCAGTGTCTTATGACCGCGTTCGAAGGTGAGGAGTTGATGTCGAGGCAGCATTGGCCCAATGTTGGTTCAAGGTTGATCCAATGTTGGCTCAATGTTGGCTCAATTAATTCTCAAATTCAACTGAATATCTAAATAATAATCATTAGAATATTCAAAACAGAATGAATTCGATAAAATAAACATATTTTCTCATGGAATCTGAAAATTGTAGGATTGACATATTTTCCCGGAAGAAAATCAACCCAAAAATCTACACCCAATGGAGTCATCAAATTCACCTTCAAATTGATTTTATAATATCTTATGAAACGCTTAATTATTCGGTTATTACATTGCCGATTTATTAACAAAAATGGCGACATCATAGAGATATGGTATAAGAAAACTAGAACTGGATCGTCTGGAAAATTTCGATATAAGATAAATAACTTCAAAAATTTGTTCAGACCGAATGGAGTCGTCTGATTTACCTTTAAAATTGATTTTGTAATATCTTATGAAATGCATAATCATTCCGTTATTATATTGCCAATTTATTAGCAAAAATGACTATATCATATGTAATCATAACGACTCTTGCACTGGTTACGTATTCTCTCGAAGAATTGGAGAGAAAATAAGGTGGACTGCTTACGGGCAACTGGAGAAGTTAGTTTTTGGTACTTGGCCCGTTTTGCTGTTAGAAATCCGATATTCATATACTAAGGATCCTAGGATCATGAGGTAAAAGATGCTGTGCACATAGACATACGCAACGTTACGTTACCCAGAGTTCTAGAGAGGAGCTAGGGTAGAGAGAAGTAAGAGGCCTCTTCTCTCCTCCGTGTGCATACTTGCTGGCGGTATATGCACGTCGTTTAAAGTGACTTTCACTTGCCCTCCGGTAAAACTTAGATGCTGAGCAAAGTTTACGTCCCCATGATATGATCATCCTCGTCTTGCCTCTCTCTACCCACGGCATATCTCTTTTTCTCATGCCATCCTCTTTCTCTCCACCTTCATAATATGTAATGGTACTTTGTGTAACTACCATCAGAGCATAAATGCCATTGGTATCATCCCCGTACTTTTCATCTGAGTCTTCAAGTTAACGAAAACAAATAATTTCATTATAAATTCGGAATAATAATGGGGATGAATTGAATTCAGGCGGAAAAGGAAGGGCTACCGAAACTCAACTAAATTGTTCTGCATCCTAATCAGGGCGTAGCGGAAAAATTAATTGCCGGATGCAATCCGATCGATTCCCACGACTGTACGAATGAGCCTGAGAGAGTGCCTATGGGAGATAGGAGCGATTTTTTTATCGCGTATCATCAGTCCAACCACCCGATCTGTCCGCTCCATTATCCCTTACCAACCACTCTTTCACGTATATATATTTTACTCAGTATGTACACCCTTTCGGGTTTTTACATTTTGTTCCCTTACCTGTTTCCTTTAATATAAAATCAAAATCAGGTGAATTGAGTTAGATAGAAAGTTATAAAGCTATAAAACTATAAAACTATAAAACTTAAAAATATCCAAAATTACAGATTTATTTATATTTATTCTTCTTACTCTCTCACATATTTTAGACTTGAGTTTTTTTTTGTTTGGACATGGGTGCAAGTGAATAAATAAATTTTGAGAAGCAGTGCAATACTTTATAAGGTATTCTTTATTAGCACGAGGAAGGCACGTCTTTACTAGAGGACAGTTGTCCAGGGACTAACTACGACCACAAAAGCAAGAATAAAAGTTAAGGTTTACGACATAAGATGACACAGTCCTTCTTGAAATTTCAACACATGTTTTGGATTGAACCATTCTCAAACGTGGAAAGGAAGCGAT